AATAAAATAAAATAAATTAAATTAATAAAATTAAAAAATAAAATAAAATAAAATAAAAATGCACTCCAGGTATCAGAAATCAGAAGTCAGAGCTAGAAAGCCACAGCCCACAGGTACCTGAACCCCAGGCCCCCCCAAGGCATTCCTGGGGAAAGAATGTGCCGGAGGATAATGAGAAACAAGGCAACAATTATGATTGTTATTTATTGAGCACCTTTGAAGTGCTAAGAGCTTGCTCAGTGTTTTGCTTTGTTATTTAGTCCTCATGACAAACCCATGAGGTTTGCTCTCATCTTACAGAGAGGACACTGAGGCTCAGAAGGCATGTGCACCCAGCCCCCAGTCACCTCCACAATGTGCCCAAGCCCTGCTGTGGTGCCCTATGAGCACCCGTGGGACCCCTCAGGAGATCCCTGCAGCTCCAGCTACTGGCCGCAGGGCCAAAAACCGCCATGAGCTAAATGGCCCCTTTGCTATCTCCTCCCAAACTGGCTTCAACCTCAGCAGCTGCATCAGTGAGAAAAAGGCCATCTAGTCAGAAAGAACCAGAAGCAGCAGTACAAGAGTCTCAGCCTGGGAACCAGGGTGGGCACCCAGCAGGCCCAGGCTGTAGGCCCACACCCACCTCAGCTGGCCAGCGGGGTGGAAGCCGCCAACAAGCAGGGCAGGGGGGCAGGGGGGCAGGGCGGCAGCCAGAGAGAGGAGGCCTCCTGCCCACTGGAGCCAACCTGGCAAGTCTGACCCCAATTCAACTTATTCAGACCCTCTTCTTACTCAACTGTGGAATCACATGTCCTTGCCAGGACCCCGACTCACCAGTGAGGGGGGTGGGAAGGAAGCGGAGGGCAGAGGAGCAGAGAGGAACCTCAACATCCTCTCTTTCTGCCTTTCTCCTGTTGACTTGGTGGGTTCAGTAGCCAATCCCAAGACGCCAACATCCACCCCACCTCCACACCCAGGCAGGAATCTTCCGGGGCGTGTGCAGGACTTATCTCTGACTTCCTCTGAGCTTTCCTGGCCCCACACCAGGTCAGAGGGACAAGCCCCAGACATGCCAAACACAGAGCTGAACGCCAGGCATCAAACAGGTCAGCTGGTTCCAGGGTCCCTGAGGGGCCAGACTGAGGGGCTCTAGCCCCACCCAGCCTGGAGACAAGCTAAGCCAGAGCTGAAGGCTGCCGAGGGGTACATGATCCAGGTCCCCACAGCCAGTAGCTTCTCTCTGGCTTCCCGCACTCTGGCTCAGAGTGCCCGTTCTCTGGGCAAACCTGAGAACCTAAGGACTGCCCTCTCTCTCCCCCCTGCCTCTTCCCCTCGGTTGGGGGAACATTCTAGAAGTGAGATGGCAGCAGCTCGTGCTCACCCCAGGCTTTCATCAGAAGTTCTAACACCTTGACTTCCCCTGACCTCAGTCTCCCCATCTGTGAAGTGGAACTAAGGTCAAATGGGTTAATTCCCAGAAAGAGTCCAGCATAGGGGCGCCTGGGTGGCTCAATCTGTTAAGCAGCTTCGGCTCAGGTCATGATATCACGGTTCGTGGGCTCAAGCCCCGCATTGGGTCTGTGCTGATAGCTCGGCAGAGCCTGGAGCCTGCTTCAGATTCTGTGTCTCCATCTCGTTCTCCCCTCCCCTGCTCGTGCTCTGTCTCCCTCTGTCTCTCAAAGATAAATAAACATTTAAAAAATTAAAAAAAAAAAGAGAGTCCAGCATAGATGGAGCTGACTCAACAGTAGCTGGCACTGGTGTCTTTCTCGTCCTCCCCACACCCTCCCTCAGCACCGCATCTGCCCTTGGGACTAGGAGCAGAGCTCTGAGCAAACCAGGCAAACCTGTAGCTGCTGTGAGGCTGGGAGCTCATGTTCAGGTCTGGGCACAGGCGTTCTAGAACAAGTTTCAAAAGCCTGGATGTTCACCCTCAGGGTGACTGGATACTGGCCTCCAATATATAAAGGGCACCGCCCTGGGAGAAAAGGGAGCCGCCCCATCCTGAGGACCCCCAAGGGTTAGCTAATGGACCCCCCCTGGAGGGTGCTATGGGGAGAGAGTCTTGATTCAGGAAGGAAGAGTTCTTCAGAGGCAAATCCAGGGAAGCTGCGGGCTGGCTTCCGTGGTGATGTGTTCTCAGTCATCTAGGTGTTCAAGCAGAGAGGCTGGTGACTCCAAGAGGGTTTGGGACTGGAAGAGGGAATAGAGTAAGTGACCTTACACCTCCTCTAATGTGGAGCTGCCGGGTCTGTTAAAATAGGTGACTGCTGAGGCGAATGGTACGAGAGGGGCTTTTCACCCCAAATCTGTGTCCATTGCTGATGCCTGCCATCCTTCACTGCAGATTCCTCACTTGGGGCTAAGACACTCTCCTTTACAAACTGCCAGGCTCTCTAGCTGGCATCCCAGTGATTCCTCAGGTCCTGGTGAAGTTCTGATAGGGGGGTAGGGGGGTGCGGAGAGGACAGGGCACATTTGTGTTATGTCAACTTTTCTAAGGAGTCAAAAGAAAACCCTTCCGTGGTTTTAAAGAATATCAAGTATAAGCCCACTACTAGAGTGGATACCACACGTTTTCTTTCCCATTTTATTCAGTTTTATTGATTCATGCAGTTAAAAACAAGGCACATTAAACATACCGTCTTATTGCTCTATACATGCCTGCAGCTCCTTCTATATATTAGGAGTAATAAATAATGGTTCTGAAACACCAAGGCAGTTGTACAAATGACAGCCCAGGGGTGCCTGGGTGGCTCAATCGGTTAGGCGTCTGACTTTGGCTCACATCATGATCTCGTGGTTCATGGGTTCAAGCCCCGTGTGGGGCTCTGTGCTGACAGCTTGGAGCCTGGAGCCGGCTTTGGGTTCTGTGCCTCCCTCTCTCTGTGCCCCTCCCCTGATGGCACTCTCTTTCTCTCTCTCAAAAATAAATAAGGGGTGCCTGGGTGGCTCAGTCGGTTGAGCGTCCGACTTCAGCTCAGGTCACAATCTCACAGTCCGTGGGTTCGAGCCCCGCGTCGGGCTCTGTGCTGACAGCTCAGAGCCTGGAGCCTGCTTCAGATTCTGTGTCTCCCTCTCTCTCTGCCCCTCCCCTGCTCATGCTCTGTCTCTCTCTGTCTCAAAAATAAATTTTAAAACATTTAAAAAAATTTTTTTAAATAAATAAATAAAAGCGGGGCGCCTGGGTGGCGCAGTCGGTTAAGCGTCCGACTTCAGCCAGGTCACGATCTCGCGGTCCGTGAGTTCGAGCCCTGCGTCAGGCTCTGGGCTGATGGCTCGGAGCCTGGAGCCTGTTTCCGATTCTGTGTCTCCCTCTCTCTCTGCCCCTCCCCCGTTCATGCTCTGTCTCTCTCTGTCCCCAAAAAAATAAATAAACGTTGAAAAAAAAATTAAAAAAAAAATAATAAATAAATAAAAGCATTAAAAATTAAAAAAAAAAAAAAA